TCCTTCACTTATGAAACTTAGTTTGGCTGGATATGAAATTCTGGGTTGAAAATTCTTTTCTTTAAGAATGTTGAATATTGGCCCTCACTGTCTTCTGGCTTGTAGAGTTTCTGCTGAGAGATCTGCTGTTAGTCTGATGGGCTTCCCTTTGTGTGTAACCTGACCTTTCTCTCTGACTCCCCTTAACATTTTTTCCTTCATTTCAGCTTTGATGAATCTGACAATTATGTGTCTTGGAGTTGCTCTTCTGAAGGAGTATATTTGTGGCATTCTCTGTATTTCCTGAATTTGAATGTTGGCCTGCCTTACTAGGTTGGGCAAGTTCTCCTGCATGATATTCTTCAGAGTGTTTTCCAACTTGGTTCCATTTTCCCCGTCACTTTCAGGCACACCAATCCGATGTAGATTTGGTCTTTTCACATAATGTCATATTTCTTGGAGGCTTTGTTCATTTTTTTTTTTACTCTTTTTTCTCTACACTTCTCTTCTCCCTTCATTTAATTCCTTTGATTTTCAATCCCTGATACTCTTTCTTCCAGTTGATCAAGTTGGTTCCTTAAGCTTGTGCATTTGTCACGTAGTTCTCATGTTATGGTTTTCATCTCTATCAGTTTGTTTATGGTCTTCTCTGCATTGATTATTCTAGTTATCCATTCATCCATTCTCTTTTCAAGGCTTTTAGTTTCTTTGCGCTGGTTACGTAGTTCCTCCTTTAGCTCTGAGAAGTTTGATCGACTGAAGCCTTCTTCTCTCAACTCATCAAAGTCATTCTCCATCCAGCTTTGTTCTGTTGCTGGTAATGAGCTGCGTTCCTTTGGAGGGGGAGATGTGCTCTGATTTTTTGAATTTCCAGCTTTTCTGAACTGCTTTTTCCCCATCTTTGTGGTTTTATCTGCCTTTGGTCTTTGATGATGTTGACGTACTGATGGGGTTTTTGGTTCGTGTTTCCTTTCTGTTTGTTAGTTTTCCTTCTAACAATCAGTACCCTCAACTGTAGGTCTGTTGGAATTTGCTTGAGGTCCACTCCAGACCCTATACGCCTGGGTATCAGCAGCGGAGGCTGCAGAAGATAGAATATTGCTGAACAGCGAGTGTTGCTGTCTGATTCTTGCTCTGGAAGCTTCGTCTCAGGGATGTACCCCACTGTGTGTGGTGTGAGGTGTCAGTCTGCACCTAGTGGGGGATGTCTCCCAGTTAGGCTACTCAGCGGTCAGGGACCCACTTGAGCAGGCAGTCTGTATGTTCTCAGATCTCAGCCTCTATGCTGGAAGATCCACTGCTCTCTTCAAAGCTCTCAGACAGGGATATTTACCTCTGCTGAGGTTTCTGCTGCTTTTTGTTTAGCTGTGCCCTGTCCCCAGAGGAGGAGTCTACAAAGGCAGGCCGGCCTCCTTGAACTGTGGTAGGCTCCACCCAACTCGATTTTCCAGGCAACTTTTGTTTTTTACCTACTTAAGCCTCAGCAATGGTGTGTGCCCCTCCCCCAGCCTCGCTGCTGCCTTGCAGTTAGATCTCAGACTGCTGTGCTAGCAATGAGGGAGGCTCCATGGGCGTGGGACCCTCTGAGTCAGGTGTGGGATATAATCTCCTGGTGTGCCATTTGCTAAGACCCTTGGTAAAGCGCAGTATTAGGGTGGGAGTTACCCAATTTTCCAGATGTTGTGTGTCTCAATTTCCTTTTGCTAGGAAAAGGAATTCCCTTCCCCCTTGTGCTTCCCAGGTCAGGGGATTCCTTGCCTTGCTTCAGCTCTTGCTGGTCTGGCTGCACTCGTGGACTAGCGCCAACTGACACACCCCAGTGAGATGAACCTGGTACCTCAGTTGAAAATGCAGAAATCACCCGTCTTCTGTGTCACTCATGCTGGGAGCTGGAGGCTGGAACTGTTCTTGTTTGGCTATCTTGGGCATGCCCCACTGGAGGCCTTCTTTCAATTAACATCTTAAATGTATAACAACTTCATTTGAATTGATACCAACTTTGTTAACATAAAAAAATCTCTTTTACCATACATTACTATCCTTTTCATTACTCTTGTGGCAAATTACATCTTTATACTTTGTGCGCATATTGTTGTAGACATAAGTTTTATGCATTTGTCTTTTAAATCTTGTAGGAAATGGAAAATGAAATTACAAGCCAAAAATACAGTAATACTGTCTTTGTATTTACCTATAAAGTTAATTTTACTGATGTCCTCTATTTCTTCAAGTTACTCTCTAATGTTGTTCGTTTTTGGCATGAAGGACCCTTTTTAGCATTTCTTGTAAGACAAATATGTTAACATCAAACTCCTTTAGTTTTTATTTATCTGAGGAATGTTTGAACTTCTCTTTCATTTTTGAAGAAAAATTTTTCCATACATAAAATTTTTGATTGTGAAGCTTTTTTCCTAACTAGTTAAAAAAGCACCCATCGCTTTCCATTATGACTTCCATGGTTTCTGATAGAAAGTCAGCTCTTAAAATATTCTTGACAGTACCTTGTATGTGATGAGTTGCTTCTATATTGTTGCTTTCAGTATTTTTCCATTATCTTTAGCTTTTGACAGTATGATTATATTGTGTCTCAGTATGAATCTTTTTGAATCTTTCCTATTTTTAGTTAATTGAGATTTTGCATGTATAAATTTATGTTTTTCATCAAATTTTGTTTTTGAGTATTATTTTTTAAGTATTTTTTCTGCCTATCTCTTTCTCTCTTTACTTCTGAAACACCTGTAATATGTATGTTATGCTTGACATTGTCCCATAGGTATTTTAGGCAATGTTTATTTCCTTTTATTCTTTTTCTTTTTGCATCACAGACTGGGTAATTTCTATTTTCTTATTTTCAAGTTCGCTGATTCTTTCTTCTGCCTGTTCAAATATGCTGTTGAATTGCTCTAGTAAATATTTTTTAGAGTTCAGTTAATGTGCTTTTCAGCACCAGTATTTCTATTTGATTCCTTTTATGATTTCTGTCTCTTTTTGATATTATCTATCTGTTGACACATTATTTTCCCAATTTCCCTTAGTTATTTGTTCATATTTTCTCTTAGCTCTTTGAGAATTTTAAAGAGAGTTGATTTAAAACCTTTACTAAATTCAATATCTAGAATTTCACAGGAATTATTTCTGTTAGTTCATATTTTTCCTGTGAATGAACTATACTTTCATAATTCTTTGTGTAGCCTGTATTTTTTGTTGAGATGTGGATGTTTTAAATATTATTGTGTAGTAATTTTAGAAATTAGATTCTCCTCCTTACTCTCTGGCTTTGCTTTTGTTGATTTTTGATGGCTTCAATCATCCATTAGTTTAGTGAATTTTTAAAACTATTTTTGTAAAGATTGTATTTTTTGTCATGTGTGGTCACTAATATCTCTGTTCTATTATCTCAATGGTCAATCAATGACCCAACAGAAACTTTTTTAAACATTTGGAACCACATGGTTAAAAAAAATTAGTACTCTCCCAATCTTTGAAGCATAGCTCTTTACTAGGGTGTTCCTTCTATGCTAAACCAAGCTGCTTGGGATCTTGTTTTACCTTTCAACTTCTACTTGTGTGGAGTCCACAGATCCACCAGAAGTTGGAATCCTAGGGGTCACTCAGGTGTTTTCTAAGTATGCATTCTCCCCTGTGCATGCACATGCATTTTTCACTCTGTTTTCCTGAGTAAAACCTTGCTTTGTAGCCTGCTGTTTCAGGGCTCTTAAATTCTCTCAGCTGCTTGTCTTATCTGCAGTCCTTTTCCTAAGGGAAGAATGGGATGTGTATGATTATATATTTCAACAGATGCCACTACTGCCCAGAAAGCAGTAGTCGGGGGCAGGTGGCAAAAGACAGACTTTGTGGCCAGTCCCTCAGGAAATCAGCAGAAAGGTCAAAATACACAATCTCAACATTTTAAGAAAAAGGTCCATATTAGTCTCCAGATGTCAGCAATCTACATGAGAAACATGGGCTTCCATCCCCACCTTAGCTGCTATTGCACTGGAAAACTGATTCTTTAAGTGTTTTACTCCAAATTTTTTTTTTTATTTTAGTTTTAGCATCACTGTTTTAACATCATGAAATACAAGTACAAAACATTATATAAGTGTACTTTTTGCTACACAGAGATGAACTAATACATTTATGTTTTCATCAGAATCTGTATCACCCAGAACTGACCAATGTACTAGTAGTTTTCCACGGGGATTTTTTTTTTTTTTTTTTTTTTTTTTTTTACGATTCTTATAAGGTTTTATCATGAATAAAAAAGCTCACAACTCTTTTCAGCCATTGCAGATTTACATTTATCTTAATATTCCTGTTTAAGACGCTTTGGAGAACTGTTAAGAACTACAAAATCATCTTAAGCAGAGTTTTGAATGAGTAATTTTATTTCACGTTGGCCAAGATCTCCCTTATGCTGGCATTGCAAAGACACTGCACTTATCTGAGGTTAGAAAAAATGTTGTCTTAATAGCCCCTTCACTGTGTAACAAGGCAAATTACTATTTCCTGAAATGTCCAGAATATCATAGTAGATAGTTATTTGTTAAGCAGTGAGTCATGAAACCCCACTTATAGAAGACAATAGCAACAGAGGACCACTAAGTTCTAAATATACCAAAGAAAAACAAGTTCACAAATATTCAAACTGTCTGTCTTCTCTACCTCTAAAATGGTTTAACCACATCAAGTGAGAGTAACATAAGCCAATTAGAAAGGGAAAAAGTAAATGTGCTAGTGTCCGACATTCAGCTTCCATAGCATGTCTCACAGTTTTCGGCCATTTCAGCTAAGAGTTTTCTAATGACAGGCAAAAATAATGATTAAAATACCATTAGCTTTGCTGAGAAATGTGGGAATAAACCACAATGTCAAAAATATTTGAAACTAATTTTGTTTTTATAAATAAATAAAATGATGTTTATCTTTTCTTAAATTCTTGCTGTTAAAACATTCAAAGTTACGTCAACCTGTAAGGATAAAGGGGTATTTAAGATAACATGCTTGGAAAACTGAACCACATTTTTAATTGCCAGCATTATGCTTTATTCTTGGTAGAATCATCCTGGTTTCTTCTTTTTACATCCCAATTATAAACCCTGGCCATATTGACTTCTGTGGTAGTAAATTGATCTCGAAGAAAGTCAAGGTCTTCCTCAAGGGAATCAAGATTCTTCGTGGCAGTCGATAAATTCTTTTCCAACAATGCCTGAGCTTCATCAATATCATATTCAAGCATTACATTAGCCCCCAACCACAGACGCACTTTATCAGGAGGAGGAACTGAAGCTTTGCAATACAAGTTATCTGCCAATAAGAATCTGGTCTCCATTGAGTTGGTGGACTCTTTTATTTTTTGCATGTATTTTAGAATTTCCAAAGTCTGTTTAATTTCAGGAATCTGACCTTTTAGCCTTCTTTTCTTTTGAGCAACTTTGAGTTCCATAAACTTATACTTCTGGTACTGTTCATCCAGCTTCTTTAATACCGTATCTGCAGTCTCATTCCCAGGCTGTTTCATGAAGGAATCTACATCTTCCACAAACACTGCCTCAGGAATCCCCAGGTGGAGCCGCCGCCCATTCCCTGTGGCCATTTCTCCTTTGCCACAACTGTCCTTAGCGGCCGCCATCTTGGGGATCTACTCCAATATTTTTTGAAGTCATCTACATTGGTTGATTTTTGTATGTTGAATCACTCTTGGATTTTTGGGATAAATCCCATTTTGTTATGGTGCATAATCCGTTTTACATGCTGCTGCATTCGTCTTGCTGGTATTTTATTGAGGATTTTTGCATTATGTCCATATAGAATATTGTTCTGTAGTTTTCCTTTCTTGAGATATATTTTTTTCTGGCTTTGGTATCAGAGTAATGCTGGCCTCATAGAATGAGTTACAAAGTGTTACTTTATGTTCTACATTTTGAAATAGGCTTTAAAAGATAGATGTTAATTTTTAAAACATTTGGCAGACTTTACCAGTGAAGCCATATACTTCTGGGTTTCTGTTGTTGTTCTTAGCAGTTTTTTGATTACTAATTCAATCTCTTTACTTGTAATAGCCTATTCAGGCTTTTTATTTTTCATTAGTCATTTTTTGTAGTTTGTGTGTTTCCAGGAATTTATTCATTTTATCTAGGCTATCAAATTTATTTATGTTGTTCATAATATTCTCTTGTGATCTTTTTTATTTCAGTAAAGTCAGTAATATTATTCCCACTTTCATTTCTGGTAATAGTAATTTGTGTTTCCTCTATTTTTCTTTAGTCATGACTAAACATTTGACAATGTTTTTGAACTTTCAATGAACCAACTTTTGGTTTCATTGATCCTCTGTATTGTTTACTGCTCCTCAATTTTGTTGATCTCCTCTCTAATCTGTATTATTATTTTCTTTCTTCTTCTTGCACTGGATTTAGTTTTCTTTTTTTCTAGGTCCTTAAGATAAAAAGAAGTTAGCTTATTGGCTTGACTTATTTTTCACCTTTTAAGGTAAGCATTTACATGTGTAAATTTCCCTGTCTGCATTTTTTCACTGTACTGTGTAGGTTTTGTGTGCTTTCATTTTAATTCTTCTCACAATGTTTGTCAATTTATCTTGTTTTTTTCTTCTTTGATCCATTAGTTTTTTAGGAGTGTATTGTTTAATTTTCACAAATTTGTGAGTTTTCCTTCCATTATCAGTATCTAATTTCATTCAGAGAAAACACTGTGTATGATTTCAATTTTTTAAAATTTATTGAAACTTACTGTGTGGGCTAACTATGGTCTATTCTGGATGAAGTTTCATGTAATTTTAAGAAGAATGTGTAGTCTGTGTTGTTGGGGGCAGTGTTCTCTATATGTCTAGTAAGTGTAGTTGGTTTATAAAGTTGTTCCATCATCTATTTCCTTATTGGTTTTCTGTATGGTTGTTCTAGCCATCAATCAATGTGAGGAGTAATTTAGTTTCCAATTATTATTTGAGAATTTTCTATATCTCCATTAAATTGTTATTTATTTTGCTTTATATATTTTTGGGCTCTGTTATTAGGGGTATGTATATTTATAATTTTCATATCTTCTTGATCAATTGACCCTTTCGTCAATATGTAATGTTCTTTGTTCTAGTAACAATTTTTGACTTAAAGTCTATTTTGTCTCATATTATTACAGTCACCCCTGCTCTCCTTTGCTTTCTATTTCCATGGAATATCATTTTCCATCATTTACCCTTCAGTCTATATGTATCTTTGGATTTAAGTGAGTCTCTTGTTGACAGAATACAGTTGGGTGACATTTTTTTGTATCCATTATGCCTATCTCTACCTTTTAATTGGAGAGGTTAAACCATTTATATTTAATGTGAATAGTAAAAATAAAATGCTTGCTTCTGCCATTTTGCTATTCAATTTTTATGTCATATATTTTTTGTCCCTTAATCCTTCCACCACTCTGTTGTCTTATGTTTGATTGATTTTTACTGTTCCATTTTTGTTCTTTTCTTATTTATATTTCTCTATATATGTTTAGTTATTTTCTTAGTGGTTACCTACGGATTACAATTTATGATAATCTAGCTTGAATTAATACCAATTTAGTATACAAAAATTCTCCTCCTATACATCTTCTTCTTTTGTGCTTTATATAGTTATTGTCACAAATTATATCTTTATACATGTGCCTACTAACATAGATTTTTGTTATTTTTTTTGGTTGTTAATTATTTTGTTAATTATTTTTTAAATTTGTCTTTTAATATAGAGAGTTGTTACAAGTGAAACATAGAATACTGGCTTTTATACATACCTATGTATTTATATTTAACAATATTTTCCTTTCTTCATAGAGTTTTGATTCTATCTAGTGTCCTTTCCTTTCAGCTTGAAGAACTTCCTTCAGAATTTCTTATAAGAAAGCTTTACAGTGAAAATTTCCCACAGGCTTTATTTGTTATTTTAATTTTTCTAAATTTTTGAGGGAGATTTTTGCCAGACATAGACATGTGGATGGAAGAGTTTTATTATTACCTTTTACACTTAAATATGTCTTCCCACTGCTTTCTGGCCTCCATGGTTTCTGATGAAAAATTGGCTGTTAGTTATTTAGAACTGTTTATGCATAATGAATTTTCTCTCTTGTTGCTTTCAAGATTCTCTCTGTCTTTGGCTTTTGACAGGTTGATTATAATGTGTTTCAGTATGATTCTTTTTGAGGTTATCTACTTGCATTTTGTTGAGCTTCTTGGATATGTTGATTCATGCCTTTCATCAAATTAGTAAAGGATTGGGCAGTTATTTTAAAAAATATTTTCTCTGCCTGTTTCTTTCTTTCCTCTCCTTCTGAAACTCACATTACGTGCATGCTTATATGCTCTGGTTTCCCACAGTTTTGTTGGGCTTTATCAATTTTCTTCATTATTTTTTCTTTCTGCTCCTTAGACTTGATCATTTCAATCGACCTATCTTCAAATTTATTAATTGTTTCTACACTGCTCAAATCTGCTTTGGGATCTGTTCAGTAATTTTTTTCATTTATTGTACTTTTGACCCCACAATTTTCATTTGGTTCCTTTTTATAATTTCTATTTCTTTATTAATATTCTCCATTTGCTAAAACATTGTTCTCCTGATTTTCTCTGTTTGCCATGCTTTTCTTTAACTCTTTAAGCATGTTTAACACAATTGTTTTAAACTCTTTGTCTTCTAAGTGCAATGCCTCAGCTTTCTCAATGATATTTTCTGTTAATATATTTTTCCTTATGCATAAGCCATACTTTCTTGCTTTTTGCCTAACTTATTATTTATGTTGTTATTGAAAAGTAGACTTTTAAATATTATTATGTGATAACTCAAAATAAGATTTTATCCTTCCAGAGTGTGTTTTTGTTTCTGTGGATTGCTGTTGTTTGCTTATTTAGTAAGTTTTTAAAATTGGTTTTGTAAAGTCTGTATTTTTTGTCATGTGTGATCATTAAAGTCTATGTTGCATTAGCTTTGTGGTCAGTTAATGATTTGACAGAGATTTTCTTGAGGGCCTTGAACAACAACATAAAACAGGCTCTCTTGGTCTTTGCTGACTGACTCTGTGTAGTAGTGTTCTTTCAGGTTTAATCAGGCCGTTTATAATTCCGTGCTATAGTTTAGATATTTGACCCTCCAAACTTCATGTTGAGATTTGGTACCCGATGTTGGAGGTGGAGCTTAATGGGAAGAGTTTGGGTCATGAGGTGGATCCCTTATGAATGTTTTGGCGCTGTCCTCACAGTAATGAGTGAATTCTTGGTATATTAGTTCCTACAAAAGCTGGTTGTTAAAAAGAGCCTGGAACCTGCCTCCCCCTCTTCTTTGTTTCCCATTTTGCCATGTGATTTCTGTACATGTGGCTGTCATTCACCTTTTACCATGAGTTGAAACTTCCAGAGGCCATCACCAGAAACAGATTCTGTTTCCATGCTTCTTATAGCCTGCAGAAAAATTAGCCAAATCAACCTCTTTTCTTTATAAATTACCCAGCCCAATCTCAGGTATTCTTTTACAGCAACATGAATGGACTAAAACGTTCTGCATTAAACTTCACTTCCTGTGTGTGTGGAGCACGAAGATCAGCCAAGTAAAAAAGGTTTGGGTCTTCTCAGATATTTTCTGAACATGTGTCATTGCCTGAACATCCTCATATATCTCTTTTCCCATACTTTTTTTTTTTTTTTTTTTTTTTGAGACAGAGTCTTGCTCTGTCACCCAGGCTGGAGTGCAGTGGCATAATCTCGGCTCACTGTGAGCTCCACCTCCTGGGTTCACGCCATTCTCCTGCCTCAGCCTCCCAAGTAGCTGGGACTACAGGCACCCACCACCAGGCCCAGCTAATATTTTGTATTTTTAGTAGAGACGGGGTTTCACCGTGTTAGCCAGGATGGTCTTGATCTCCTGACCTCGTGATCCACCCGCCTCGGCCTCCCAAAGTGCTGGGATTATAGGCGTGAGCCACCGTGCCTGGCCTCCCAGACTTTTTTTTCCTAGGCTTTTCAGTCTGTTAGCAGTTTACCCGCCCTGTTATTCCTTGACCAAGAAAGATGCAGCTAGTATATTTGCATTTAAATGTTTTCAACAAATATTGCGCTGGAGGCCACTTCAGCCCTGAGAACATTTTATAGTTGGTGAAGAAAAGGCAAGCCCTTTATCTTATTCCTCAGGAAACCACCAGACAGGTCAAAATACAAAACCAAAATACTTTGAGAGCAAGGTCTATATTGCTTTCTCTGGCATAAGCAAGCTGCATCAGGAACACAAGCCACCATCTCCATAGCCATGACTGACATGGGAGATAGGGAATGGTATGTGGATAAATTAAAATGCCACAATATTCCCTCACTAAGATTAATCACTTCCCTGGTAATTGTAAGTTTTTAAAATTAGATTCCAGCATTCTGAAAAAGTTGGTTCTGACACATTTTTTTTGTCAGGCTAATATTTGATTTAGTGGTTGGATAATGTTTTAGAATTCTCCACTTTGCCATTTTCAGTGGAATCAGTCATTGATATTTTCAAGTTGTATATTCCATTAAATCTTATCCAGCTTTCAAGTAAGGAAACTATATCAAAACTTAATATGATTTTTCATACCATGTACTTCTATTTTCATAAATGAGGACATTATG